TTATGTGTAACGAGATGGGAAAACAAATAAAATTAACGGATCACATGATGGTAAATGTTGAAATGAGCATAGGTATACAAGTAGTAGTAAGAAAAAAATATTAAAATCACAAAAGAAATCTTACATAAAAATAATTTTAAGAATGAGATTAGGGAATTATTAGACAAGGTAAAAGAAGAAATTACGGGGGAGAAATGGGAAGAAACTAAGAAAAAAATTAATTCATTAATTGAAAAACAATGGCATAAAATAAAGAAAGACAAATTTAATAAAAGTAAAAAATTAAAAAGAGAATTGACTAAAGCCATTATAATGAAAACAGGTGAAAATGAAATTAAAAAAATTGAAACAGAAATAGGAAGAGAGATAGAGGAAAAGTGTAATGAAAGATATATCAGATATAAGATGTAGAGAATTAGGAACTAGTGTATATGAAAAAAGGGGAAAGGAAAAAGAAAAAATGGAAATAAATGAACTAACAAAAGATAACATAACAATTACAGACAGGAAAGAAATAATACAGGAATTCTATAGTTATTATAGTGAGGTAATGTCAGAACCATCATACAATGAGAAAGGGTGGGATAAAATCTCAAAATATATTAAACCGATAAAAAACAAACAAAATTATATAATTAATAAAGAGATAACAAGAGAGGAAATAAAAGAGGCTATTATGAAATTAAAAACAAGGAAAGCACCGGGTAAAGATATGTTAACATCAGAGTTTTATATTTATTTTAATGAGGACCTAGTAGAGACACTTTATTACTTATATAACAACAAAGAGTTCAATAAGAATTTTAATGAAGGTATAATGATTTTAATTAAGAAAAAAGAAAACAATTGTAGTGTTGCAGATTATAGACCAATTACGCTGTTGAATTATGATTTTAAGATATACAGTTTAATAATTGCAAAAAGACTACAAGACTTATTTATAAATGAAATAGTAGAAACACAGAGTGCAGGTATTGAGGGAAGATCAATACAAAACAATGTGATTTTTATGAATCTAGCTATTGAATTCTTCTCTTCTTCTGGTTCCATATTCATTTCTGAATGTAGGACTAGTATTATAACAATCTCAATTGTGCTTCACGTGTTAGTTCTTCTGCTTTCTTATTATTCCATTCACATATATTACCTAACCAACTTTTCCTTCTCCTTCCTGGGCTTTTCTTTCCACAGATTTTTCCCTCTAAAATATTTCTCAAAATTTCATATTTACTTCCTCGGATGATGTGGCCAAAATACCCCGTCTTTCTTCTTTTAACTGTATTTAAAACTTCTTTTTCTTTCCCCATTCTTTCCAAAACTTCCTCATTTGTTATTCTATCTGTCCAAGATATTTTTAAAATTCTTCTATATAACCACATTTCGAATGCTTCAAGTTTGTTTAACGTATTTTTTTTTTTAAAAAAAAAAAAAAAAAAAAAAGCTATTGAATTAAGTACTGAAAAACAAATACCTATGTCTGTTTTATCAATTGATGTCTCAAAAGCGTTCGACAGGGTAAATAGGGAAATTTTATGGAAATTATGGTTTAAATAAAGATGAAATTACAATGTTAAGACAACTATACAAGACACCTAAAACAAGTATAACAATTAATAATCAGTTGAGAGAAGCTTTTGAATGTAGAGCAGGAGTCCGACAGGGATGTCCGTGCTCAATGATTCTGTTTGTAATATATATTAATCTGTTGTTAAAGTGTATATAAAATAATAAATTAATAGGAAATATGTATATCCCTGGGTTAAAAAGAAATATAAAGTTCATAAGTCATGCTGATGACATCAGTTTCTTTGTAACAAATAATTTTTCATTAGAAAAAATTGATGAAGCTCTAAATGATTTTGGTAAGTAAACAGGAATGAAAATCAATATGGAAAAAAGTAAATTACTGAAAATATATGGAAACAGACAATATAAACTTTAAATATGAAAGAGTGGAAAATATGAAAATCTTAGGGGCATGGTTTGGCAAGAATGCAAATGAAAAAAATGTAAACTTGATGTATGAAAAAATAAAGAATGCAATAAGGGAATGGGAATACAAATGGCTTTATCCTCCAGAAAGAGTAGTTGTGATAAATAAATTAGTCATACCAAAAATTGTATACTTATTATATGTCACTTGCTTAAAAAAGATGATATTAAGAAGCTAGAAAAGCCAATTTTTAACTATATCTGGCAGAATGAATATGAGCCACTGAGCAGAAAGATAATGAAAAATAACATAAATAACGGTGGGTGGAATATCAAAGATTTAAAAGACTTTGAAAACTCATTAAATTTAACTGTGTTAATAAAAAACCTGGTACAAAGAAATCACCCCCTCTTTTTTATTGCATTATATATATTGGGTCCTAAGGTAAAAAACATAGCTGGAATGCAAATGAATTACCCATTTATTGTAAATAATAACAAAAAATACAAAATGTGGAGAAGGACTATTGAAAATATAATTAACAATAACAGCGAAATCTTTGATGTAAGGAGGATTAAACCAAATAGAATTTACAACTTGTTACATATACAACATATGAATGAAAATTTAGTAAACACAAGTGTAAATTGGACAAATACATGGAGAAATATAAATCTCCTATCTTCCGAATGAAAGGAAACGTCATGGAGAATTATACAGGAGGTAATAATGTGTAAAGAGTTCTTGCACAAATACAATAGAAATAGAGATGAATATTGTGTTAGGTGTGGTCAGACTGAATCAATAATTCATATATTCTATATGTGCGAGCCTGCTAAAAAAGTGTGGGCATGAATTAACTCAGTTTGTAGGGTGAAGCTGGAATGGAAGAATATAAAATATCAAATAGAATATAAGATAAGATATCAAAGCACATACTTATTAAATTGGTTAATAGGCTTAACGAAAAGAAACATATGGAAAGCTAGATGCTTAGAGGTATTTGAAAAAAGGAGAATAAATCCTACATTGATAGTGACAAAGATTAGAGAGGAAGCAAAGCTAAAATTAAAAAAAGATAATGAGACACTAACAGATAATGAATGGAATAATTACTATAGAGGGACAGAGAATGTAGTATGGAAAAAACAAGGAGATAATTTCATATTTAAGGACGAATGGTAATTAAAAATGTAAATGTTATTTTAGATGTATAAACTACTTACCTAATAAAAAAGTTAGGAAAAAGTAGGTATAAAATGTAAATGTGTAAATGAAAGACCTTAATAAGATATTAAGGTAGATAAACACGTTAAGAAGTATAATTTATTTATTTATTTATTGATATGTAAATCTCAACAATACATAAAGGATAGGATGTTGAGAAAAATGTATTTCTTGAAAATTGAAATAGTAATAGGTAAGGTAAAATAAACTTACCATAAAAAATGTATATAAAATAAATAAAAAGAAGTTAAATAAATAGAAAAATGTAATATTAAAAATACTGAAATTATATGTGTAACATAAAAAACAGAAATAGTATGATGTCGGGATATAGAAATGTATATTCACTTTATTGATGAAATAAATAAGTAAAATGTACTTATAATAAATACAAATCGTAAAAAAAATATAATACAGTAGATCCCCCTATAAAACCGTTTCCTATAGTTATGATTCCTATAAAAATTGTGGCATTATCCGTAAACAACGGTAAAAATAACTCCTATAATACGTAAAACGTCATCGGGCAGCCGAACTACTTTCCCGCCGTCCGTAGCGCCACGCTACGGACGTTTAGGCGGATAAATTGAGTTTAGTATCGTCTGTTCATATAATTATATATAAATTAGGTACTGTACATATAATTATATATTAATTATATATAAATTAGGTACTGTATATATAATTATATATTAACTTAATTTATTGTAACTTTATTATAATTAAATATATATTTTTCGCCGTCTAGCGTCACGCTACGGCGAGTTAGGCGACCTATCGTCTGTCCAGTACTGTAATTTTATACATTTCTTGTGAAAGAAACATTTCTTATTTAACGGCCATAAAAATTATTTATATTAAGGATGTCTCCAAAGGTCAACGAAGTTTTCGCAGAAAAATAATATCAGAAATCGCGGCCGCGGTTTGATGCGCTGTTCCGCGACGAAACCAAGCTTTAGCAACGGGCGTAGTCGAACGGTACACACTCGGTAAGCAATCCTACAATTTTTTGTTTATAACGTAGTTTATACGGATTATTTTCAAAAAAATATACGTATTTTGGAAATGTTGAGTCGAATTAGTCTAGAATCGATTAATTTTATGAAAGAAAACCTTTCAAACAGCCGTAGTCCATAAACTATGATTCCTACAAAATTGATTCATAAAGAACGGAACGTATCTACCGTCTTATAGGGGGATCTACTGTATATAAATAAATGTAAACATATCTAAATAGAAAGAAGACTAATGTAAAAAAGTTATAATTCTATTAGTTGTATTAAAGTTTTGAATGTAATGTTAAATAAGCACAAGGAAACGAATAGAAAATTGATTTTTGTGATTTAATGAATAAAAATGTTATCGAGCATGTTGCTCCATGTAAATAAAAGAAACAGAAATAATAAACTTTAATTTAACAGTATCTGTTCTTATCTCGGCCGTGCTGGCAGAGAAATTCGAGTAGTCTTTGTTTTGCTATTATAAGTTTATTTGTGCCTTTATTGGATCAACTTATTGATAATTAATGATCGGAAGTGTTGAGGATTACTGTTTCGTCAAGAATTTGTGAAAAATTAAAAATTATTTTTTGAGTCTTAACGAAAACTGGAGTTGAAGTGTTAGGACTAATGCTTGGGAATACAGACAATTAGTGGCAAAGTGAGTAGGAAGTTTGAAAGAATTATAGACTAGACTGACTGTAGAGTAACTAAACTTTATTTTAAATAACTTTAAAGTGAGAAATTATTTTTTTCTGGAATTAAATTAGTGAGAAACACTTCAACAGCTCCCGTGGGGGGCGTGTCACAGGAAGATAGACTTTCTGAAGACTTGTGTTGACTTTTATTAAAGTTTATATGGGCTTAATTGCCTTTACAAGTTATTATAAGTATTCTACAGAATTTATTCGACAAGTTTGTGGAATTTTAGTCGTATTCTTCGATAACTTACCTAACCAACAGGTGTTGGCCGCGGGCCAGTCGGCAAGTGAAATTCTGCCGAGATGGATCGGGTTTTTGTACCTGTTTCGGTCCCTGGATTAGGAGAGGATAGTCCGAGACCATTAATCGACTTAGAAGTGGCTGGTGATATTCAGAAGTTCATGGGAGTCACCTTCAGAGGAAGCTTGGTGGGTGGATTATCACCGCCAACCTTGCCCGAGATGGGGGTGAATAATGAGGAGGAGGCTTCTGAAAATGTAAAAAAGTATGAAGCAGTTAAATCAGTTCGATTAGTAATAAAAGAGAAAGTAATAGTGGCAGAATTAGTAGAAGAAATTACCAAGAAATTAGGAAGTGAAGGAGTAGTCGAACAAGTGTGCTTTCGGCCAAATAACATAGTGGAGGTGGGATTGGATTCTGTTAAAGCAAAAGAAAAATTGATGGGAGAAACAATAATTTTAGATAATAATGAGTATGTAATAGAAGGAAGAGAGAAAGAAATACTTACATTGACGATGAAGTGTGTCCCACATGAGGCGGATGAGGAATTGCTACGAAAGGCTCTAGAACCTTATGGAAGAATTATAAATGTAGTAGCATACAAGTTTAATACTACACCACCGATAAAATCAGAAACATATAGAATAGCTATACACACAAATAAGAGTATACCGAATTATATGGAGATTCTTGGATGTCAAGTCCAGATTTTCTGTGTGGGTCTCAAACCGGAATGTCGACGATGTGGTAGTAGTACGCATCTGATAAGAGAATGTCAAATTAAAAAGTGCTATCGATGTGATAGTACCTTACATCTTGTAAAAGATTGTAATTGTAGACAAGATCATGATAAGGATGCTCCATGTAAAAAACAGACGTTTTCTGATATATTAAAAAGAGGCCCACGAAGTCGGAGTACGGAAAAAAGAAGAGAGAAAAGTTTAGAAAGGAGAAAAAAAAATAAGGAAATAAAAGAAAGTGAAATGGAAACAGAGATACCTGATAAAGTAATAAATAAAGAGGAAGAGGTGGAAGGAATTGACAAAGAAAATAGGGAAAGAGCAGAAATTGTTAGAATTAGGCCAGTAAAGGAAACTGCATCGATTTATGAAGAAAAGACGAGGTCTAGAGGAAGTAGTATGGAAAGAGAATTGAAGGATATAAGAGAAGGAAAGAGAAGAACTAGAACGGAAGGTATAGAAGATCAACAAAAAAGAAAGAAAACAACAAAAGAAACGAACAATGGTTAAATACCTAAATTTGCGAACAATTAACATAACAGGGTTTAGAGAGGATAAAAAACAGATATGCTTATTAAACTTAGTAATGTCAAATAAGATTGATATATTGTTGATCCAGGATACTAATATACGTGACTTTTCAGATTTAAGAGCGCTAAGAAAGGTGTTTGTGGGCTATAATATTTATGCATCCTTTTCAAGCAGAAGAAGCACGGGAGTTTTAACATTAGTAAGAAAGAAGATTAAAGTATACGACTTTAAAACCGACCGTGATGGGAGAGTACTTACTGTAGACATCCAGGTGAGTGGTAAGATAATCAGAGTAGTTAATATATATGCTTCACCTAAAGTCTCTGAAAGAAAAGAAAATTTATTAAATTTAAGGCAATTTTTAATTGGTATTAAGTTTTTAATTTTAGCTGGTGATTTTAATAATATTTTATCACCTGTTGATAACAGTGGTGTTTTTGGTTATGATGGGTCAAGGAAAGTTTAACTAAAATTTTAGAAGATTTTAGTTTTATTGATATTTACCGTTTTAAATTTCCGCATGATCCTGGTTTTACTTGGACTGGAAGGGGTGTAGAGGAACGACTGGATCGCGTCTATATTACAGATAATTTAAATGACTGGAGTAATATAATAAAATATGATTTACTGATAGATAATAAAATAATATCAGACCATAAAATGTTAGAAATAAATTTAAAAATAGATGATAATAAGGAACAGAAAAGAAATATTAAAATAACTAAAGATATACTAGAAAATAAAAATTTACAAAAAGAGGTTTTTAGTTTGTTTGACAGATTTAAGAATTGAGTTCACGGGTTGGATGTCACGCCAACTTATGTCAATCAAAACTTCCAAGAACGTCAGTCTAAAAAACCAACAATAATTTTGCATTCTCTTCCCGCACCTCCTACATGATTCAAAGCACATACATGTCGGCCCCTTTATGTGCGTCTGTTTACGTGTGTTATGTATTTTAAATTATGTCCCGCGCTTTAATATTTAAAATTTAAATTTTAACATAAACTTGCACTTGTGGATCTATTCCGATCGGTTTCTATGCTATCTATGTTAAGGCGCATGCGTGCCAAAAATTTTATACGTATTTACAAAGTGTTTTAATTTAAATTCTAAAAATTTAATTGTACTTAATAGACATCTAATTGGCTCTCATGTTATGCATGTTAAGGTGCACGTGCGCCAATTTTTCGCGTTCACATAATAATTAATAGCCACTCCAATCGATGTTTATTTGTTTTAAAACGCATGCGCACCAATTTTAAATGTTTAATTCTAAATATTTAAATTTAAAATCTCTTTTTTGTATGTTCAAAAACGGCTAGTATCGTTAATGTTTTAAATTTAAATGTATGGTTCGAATTCTTTATTCGAATTTAATTTTACCTGAAGACGACGTGCTTATTTACGTCGAAAGCGCTCGTAAATTAAAAATAAAAATAATTTCAAGTATATTTAACGCCTCATAGACTGACGTTCTTGGAAGTTTAGATTTAAGAATGAAATTGACTGGGAAAATTGGGTTTATATGAAGGAAAAGTTTAAAAATGAAATAGAGAAAGTTTGGATTGAAAATAAAATAAATAGGTTTAATAAATTAAAATATTTACAAAGGGAATTAACGATAAGTATAATAAATGGTAATAGCAAAGAAATTAAACGTATAGAAAGTGAAATAAGTGAAGAAATTGAGGAGAAAAATAAAAATAATTATATAAGGTACAAAATGAGGAAATATAATATAAGGAGAGAGTCAGAGAAAGTGCTCTTTGAAAAAAGAAATAGAAATATAGAAAGTTTAGAAATAGATAAGATAATTAAAGATAATAATGAAATTCTTACTGATACTGATATTATTTTAGAAAAATTCCGGCGGTTTTATGAGAATTTGTTTAGAATTCTTCAGTCAAATTTCGATGTATGGGAGAATGTGAAGAGAAATATTAAATCTGTGAAGCAAAAAGATGCAGATATTATTAATAAAGAAATATCAAAGAATGAAATACGAGATGTGATCCAGTCACTAAGTACTGGTAAAGCCCCTGGTGATGATTTATTGTGAAGTGAATTTTATAAATATTTTAGTGAAAATTTTACGGAGTTTTTTTTACAATTTATTTAATTTTAGCCCTTTTGGCAGCAATTTTACGTATGGAAAGATGGTTTTAATACATAAAAAGGATGATGTGGATAAAATTTTAACTAATTTTAGACCAATAACCCTTTTAAACATTGATTATAAGATTTTTAGTACTATTATTGCCAAGAGACTTGAGGGTCTTTTTAGAGATAGTATTGTGAGCACTCAGACAGCCAGTATCCAAGGTAGATCTATTCAAGATAACATTGTTTTTTTGAGATTAATACAAGAACTATATTTGGAGAAAGAATTCCCACTCTCCATCCTCTCAATTGATGTACAAAAGGCTTTTGATATGGTAAATCGCGACGTGCTCTGGAGAATGTTAGATGTGTATGGCTTAAATGATGACGAAATTAGTCAAATCAAACATCTTTACTACGCACCAGGCACCTTCATTTATGTTAATGGTAAACAGTCACGTGATATTCAATGTGGAGCAGGGGTAAGGCAGGGTTGCCCCTGCTCCATGATTCTTTTTACTATTTATATTAATGTACTTTTACAAAATGTGTTAAGTGATGACGATATTGATCCAATCCATGTCCCGGGTAACAAAATTACAACAAAGTTTTTTGCGCATGCAGACGATGTGAACTTCTTAGTTACGAACAGAAAGAGTCAAAATAACATTATAGATAAAATAAAGGAATTTAGTACACTTACTGGTATGTGTATAAATGAGAATAAATCTAAGTTGTTGAATGTTTATGGTGACATGGATTGTGAGAATATGAGAGTAAATAAAGTTGAGAATATGAGGGTGCTCGGTGTGTGGATTGGTAAAGAAGGCAATAAAAAGAATGTAGAACAAATGTTAAATAAAATAAAAAACGTAATTGAAGAATGGAAATTAAATTGGTTATATCTTCCAGAGCGCGTCGCGATTATAAATAAAATTGCTATAGCTTCTATTATGTATACATTATATTATACAAATCTGACTGTTGATGATGTTAAAAAGATAAATTCTCTGTTATACAAATATATATGGATGAATACTTATGAGCCTTTAAGCAGAAAAACAATGACTGAGGATGGAGAGAGTGGGATGTTAAAAATTTAGAGTGCTCACTTCAAATCAGTCATATAATTAACTCTCTGAAAAAATATAAGCATCCTGTTAGTTATTTGATTCAGTATGTATTAGGGCCAATTGTTAAGAGAATCACTCAGGTGGCAGTACAATTCCCGTTCTTGATAAGTAACAAAAAGAAATATAGGTATTGGAGAAGCAAAATTAAAGAAATAATGGATAATCAAGGGAATAGTATAAATACTATGGTTAAACTTCATCCCATTATTGTTTATAAAATTATTAATAAACAGCAATTAAACTATAACATGATTAACTCCACTATCAACTGGAGACTAGTTTGGAAAAACGTTGGTGATCTCCCACCTGAGTGGTTAGAACTCACCTGGAGAATGTTGTTAGACATTGTTATGACTAAAGATTTTATAGCTACTTTCCATCACGGTCAAGACTCCTGGTGCTTGCGGTGTGGAAGTAGAGAAACAATGATACACCTGTTCTTTGAATGCAGTATAGCCAACAGGTTTGGCATTGGTTTGATAAAATATGGAAAATGAACATAACTTGGATTAATGTGAAATATTTTTTTGGATTTTAAACTTAGGAATCCTAATCGTTATATGTTAATTTGGATGATTGCTCTGATAAAAAGGGTGTTGTGGAAGGCAAGATGTTGTGAAGTGTACGAGAAGAGAAGATGGAATGCAGCATTAATAGTAACAAAGATAAAAGAAGAAGCTGCCTATAAAATTAAAAGTGACTTAAAAAATATGAGTGAAGGCGAGTTCAAAAAGAATTATAATGGAACAGATACTATTTGGAAGATAGTGAATAATTGTGTAATTTATTGTGATGATTAAGTTTTTGGATTTTAAAATTTTTGGGCCGTTTTGCCCTTTTATTTATTTGAATTTATTTTCTTACAATGATTGTTCAATGTTCACCTCTTCGTTTTGTTTTTTATTTTATATTTAATTGTTCAGTGTTATTTTTGTAATTAAACAAAATTGTAAATAATATTAATAATTATTTTTGACTTTTGTCGATTTTAAATTGTTGTTTACTGGATTTTGAATGTTTATTGTAATTATGTAAAATTGTATTATGAAATTTGTGTAAATAACATTGTAAATAATTATACTAATTTGTAATATAAATTATTGTCAGGATTGTTCTGTTAATTTTGAATTTATGTTATGTTGATACTTTGTTGAGTTTGTAAATGCCGAAACTGATTTATAAATAAATGCTTCATGGGTTCAGGTTGCGGGTGGCGTTTTCGCCTGGGCTGGTGTTTGGTGTTTCTCGCTCTCG